CAAATTATACAAAGACCACGTTCATTTAGTGATACTTATGGTAAATTAAAAGAAGTTCCAAGCACATTTAATGTTTCTGCTGAAAAAAAGAAGAAAAAAAAAAAATTTGGACTATTTGGAAAGAAAGAAGAAGATATTATTATTAGTGATCCTGAAGGATTTTCAATAACTATTAGTATGAGGTCAGGTTCATCTTCAAATCCATTAAGTAGGTTTGATGGTAAAAGTGAGAAAGCATTATATCCATTAAATCCTCCCCTTCCTCTTTTGAATAAACGAGATGTAAGTTCAGAAAAGGAGTATTTTGATTTAATTGATGAAATTGAAAAGGAGCAATTATTTTTTGATGAATGGAGTAGTCCTGTTGTACCAAATGAAAAATGGGAAATGAATTATTCTAACGATTGGGAAAAAAAAAGTCTTGTTACTACATCATGTATTGAAGATGGATATTACATTGAAATTGGAGAGGGTGCTTGTACTACAAACACTGATTTAAAAGATTATTTAATTGTAGACATCACATCTGACTTTAATTATTTTAACAAATTTGTAAAAGGTAATCCAGATGCAGAGCATTATATTTTAACAGAAGAACCAACAGCTCTTAGTATTATTCCAGCAACACACAATGGATTTAGAAGAGGAATTGTAATGAATAAGAAAGGAGAAATTCGATGTTTATTACCAAATGAATTAGAAAAGATTAAAGAATTTAAAGTTGCTTTTCCAGACTTAAGTCATGGAGATTTTTATAAATTGAGTAAGCAAAATAAAGAGAAGTTTGAAAATGAAATAGCAAGGATTGAAATAATGAATTCAATTAGTCATTATAAATTTGGGATATTATATTGTCAGTCTGGTCAATGTAATGAAGACCAAATGTTTGGAAATACTGAAGGATGTCCTGCTTTTTATAAATTCTTGGACTTACTTGGAAACAAAATTGAGTTACATGGATTTAATAAGTACAGAGGTGGATTAGATGTTTCAAGTGGTTCTACAGGAATTTATAGTTATTTTACAGAATATTTAAGTTATGAAATTATGTTTCATGTCTCTACATTATTACCAGAACAACCTGGAGATCTTCAAAGAGTAGAAAAGAAAAGACATATTGGAAATGATGTTGTTGTTATTATATTTAAAGAACAAGGAAATAATTGGCAAGATCAATTTAATCCTAAATGTCTAACTTCACAATTTAATCATATATTTATTGTTGTTCAACCAGAAATAAACACAAAAGATAATATGGGATATTTTATTACTGTTTGTTGTAAGTCATCTGTTAATCCATTTCCTCCATTCATGACAACAACACATTACAGTCATGATGAAAAAACAAGAGAATTTATTTTGAGAAAAGCTATAAATGCTGAACGTACAGCAATGTTTTCGACTGCCTTTAAAGGAAATGCAACTAAAACTAGAAAAAAACAACTTTCATTATTATTTGAAAGCCTTGAAGATTGAATTATTTTATAAATTTACATTTATTTGTTATAATTTTTTTCAAATTAAAAAATATAACTTAACAACTATAGAAAATTAAATTAGAGAAGAAACAGAACGATGTGGAACTTCAAAAATACAACTAGCCCCATCTTCTTTATCATCGTCTTTATTAATGAATTTGAACTGTGGTTGAATAGGTTGATCAATATAAGTTGGTCTTATTATTTTCGATTTTTTAGGAAATTTAATCATAAGCTTAGCATTTAAGTCAAGGTCATTAAAATTCTTTAATGGATAATGTTGTAATAACCTCAATGCTTCATCAAATTCTTTTTCCATTAATTCATCTTTAATTGATATGATCATTGAAACACAAAAACATTGAAGGTATTGTCTACTTCTTAAATTAGCAAGAATTCTATCCCAAAACATTACTAAAGAATTTATTGGTAATTCTTCTGTTAATAACAATGACATCCATCTAAATAAAAATAATGCATTCTCAATTCCTTTTTCTTGTAATGATTCAAACAATTCATTATCTTCTTCTTTTAAACGATTCATCACACTATCCATTGCTTTATTTATACCTTCATCTTTATCATCTTCTTCTTCATTAAAATAATGTGAATATTCTTTTAATAAACCTTTCATACAATAATAACTTGATACTTCAGCACCTTCAAAATCTTGATTATTTGAATGAAGAGCAAAAACATAATATAATACTGAAACAAGTTCATTCATGCCTTGAGTATATTTAATTTTATCAATTGCAACAAGACAATATAATATCCTTTTAATAACATTTCTATGATTAACAATATTATTTTCGTTTTCAATTTTTAAGATAGTAAGTGTCCTTGGAATATCATTATCAATTATTCGTATTTGGTATTTTAATTTAACAGCATCTTGGTCAATTCTCTTTCTTTGGTCTGATGAAGTAGACGATGACCGTGGTCGTACAATTTTATCAAAAAAAGACTTTGGGGAAGGAAGACGAGAGACTGTTGAATGAGAACGTTCAGGAATAGCAAAAACATTTTCATTACGAGGGGTGTCAAGTGAACTATTTGGTGTTTTGTCATCATGAGATAAAGGAGAAGGATCATTTCTATCAAAAATAATAATTTTTGGGTTATTTGAAAGTCTTGTTGGACGAGGTCTTATTGGTTGTACTTCTTTCTCAAGAAAATCAGTTCTTCCAATAATTGATGGCAATAATTGTTGGGTATTAACTTTATATTGTTGTGACTTTTGTTGAACTTCTAGTCCCCATTCAAATTGATTTGGAGGTAAATATCCTAATAAAATCTGCCATGCCTTTGGTCTTAAAGCCGAGTTAACTTGAAGCTTTCCTGAATACATCATTTTTCTTAATTGGGTTATGTCAATAACTGGTTCAATAAAAAGTGATTCAATTCGTTCATTCATATTTTGGATGTTTGTTAGTTGAATAAATTTGATCTTGTAAATAAAATAGTTTTATTTAATAGTTTATTTTTTTAATTTAATATAATACTTTTTATTTGTTGAATTGATTGAAACCTATAAAAAGTTAAAAGAAAAATTTACTTATAAATTATTTCATTTACAATCCCGTAACATAAAATAAATTCCTGTTTCTACTTCTAGCAACAAGAGAGTTGTTTTTTTTCGAAATAACATGAAAATTAATTCCCATCATTATATATATTATTGTTTTAAGAAGCTGATAAGAAGAATTTTAACTGTTGAACCATCACATGCACAAATGATTTGATTATTAGAACAACAGATACTGCCAACTTTATTTTCTATATATAACAATTTGAATACATAAGAATACAAATATCACAAACTATCAAAATTTTTTCATTTCCAATAACACAAAAATGGTATGAGTCTATTACTCCTAATTGAAGTACTCCCGATTTATGAAGTCTACTTTCTTCAATAGTATGAAATTATGAATATATAACCGATATATTAACTGTTCTATCAAAAAACACTGAAAATATAAACTGACAGAATAAATTGTTTTATTAAAGTCAATTTACTTCAATGGTTTGAGTAAATATATATTATTGTTTGCTTAAAATTAAAATAATTGATAATTTCCACTATGTACTATGTCATTCCAAACAACAAAAGTATTGTTTTATAATGGTAAAATCCTGTTATTTTAACTTGTCAATGAATCAAAAATGATTGTCAATATATTTAATTATACTACATCATTTATAACTAACACAAATAAAATTATTATGATAGACAAAGCTAACAATAGAAGTATTTGAATCTATAAAAACTTTATTTGTTATTAATTGAGGTGTAAAGTTCCATACTTTTAATTTTCTCTCGGAATTTAAACAAATCAATTCAACATATTTTGAATAAACATCAACAGAGTTTCTTGCATTTGAATAAATTTATAATACTTGAAATGTGGATTGACGGTGAATATCCTTTTCTGCAATTGATGAATAAAGTTGGTTAATTGATGGTATCAAAGAAGACTGGTTTTTGAAGAAGAAGAAGACTACAAACATATTTATTTGACAGAAGTGCTGTTGGTTCATTAAAAATAGTTAACACATTAAATGAAGAAGGAAAATCTGTGACTGATAAAGAATTTATAAATAATAAGTTATTATCTAATGATAATAATTTAGAATATCTATTATTTTTATTTTCTTCATAAGAGACTACATAATTAATAATAGTTTTAATATGTTTATTTGTAGCTTTAAGACTTTTAATATTAATTACAATTAAATATAAAAATTTTTTGTGTAGTTGTATAATGTATATTTACAAAAAAAAAATGTTCCTTCAATATTTTTCTTATTTTTATGATTCAAAATGAAGAAGAGAATATTTAAAAATTTTTTTGGGTTATCAAAAAATAATGAACCAGAATAAATATTAATTTTTATATTATTTAAGAAGGTATATACAATTTCCATAGAAAACTCAATTATTTTTTTTTCAGAAATATCAAAGAAGTATTGAACATTCCAATATTTATTAATATCTTCTGATAATAAAACATATGCTATGCTGAATTAAAGAAAAAATGTTTTTGAATTGCTTTTATTTAACCATTCTATTGATGCTAAATGATAATGAAACATAGAACAATCATCAGAATAAATAAGCAAAAAAAATTATTATGTTACGCCATAATATTTACTTGGTTCTTTCTTTAGAAGAAAGTAATTGTCTTGTTTTTCAATAAATTGACAAAGATTTTGAAATACTAACTTTGTCATTGGTTCAATATTCATTTTTAAATTTGTTTTCTTTCTAAATACCTCCAACACAATGAAAACTAAAACTATATGTTTCTACACTCACTAAATTCATTTCTTTCTCTTTGGTTTAATTTTTTTTGTAGTTTTTAAGTTTTATTTTTATCTTTCTTTGGTATTTATAAATAGTTTTTAGGAACTTCTTTCAACTATTGTTATTTTTATCAAATTTAAGTTGCTATTTCCGATGATAAATTAAATTGTTGTATAATTATTTTCATTTTTATTTGAATAACACAAACTTAGTTAGAATGAAGATTCCAATTCAACATTTCCACACGTAAATGAAATACCATTCTCGCATTTCAATTCAACACGTGCTGTTACTCCAAAGTCAATTGCTTTTAAAGAGAATGGTTTGGTATAATCAACAATAAGTGAAGATGAATTTGAATGTAATGAAGGAGCCATACAATTCCATGGAGGTTGTTCTTTAATAAAAACGTAACGATTAGAATGATTAAGTTTTCTTGAAGAAAGAAGACAAGAATATGAAGGTTGTATAAAGCTTAAAATAATCAATAATAGTAATGCGAGAATAATTGAAAATATCATTAAATAACCTGCTAATTTCTTTGTTATATCATAAAAAGTGAGTCCAACAATTAATGAATTAAAAGCAATAACAATACTCATATAAATTTGTAATGTAGATCCCATTAAAAATGTCATTGAAAAAGCTATTAAACCAATTGAAATAATTACATACCATCTAGTAATAATATTAATAATAATTTCTTTATTAAACTTATTATTAATTACTTCATCATTCCAATCACTTTTCCAATAAGACAACCAATTTATAAATGAAACAACAATAGTCCAAAACCAAATCATTCCAAAACTTGGTATACAAATTACTTCTATAATTGATAATATTGTAAATATTATTGCTATCCACCAAATTATTTTTTTTGGACCTAATCCAAATTTACCAATAAATAATTCATTTTCATCTATTTCTTGTGGTTCTAAAACTTCTTTAAGAATATCTTTAATTTTTTGTGTAATTTCAGTTACTTTATTTAATTCTGTTATAGAAGTATATAATTCTTTTAAAGATGATACAATATAAGGAAGTAACGCAACAGTATCAATACTTAATGTTCCATCAGGAAGTACTTTAACTGTGTTAGGATATATTTCTTGTAGTTCTTGAGCCATAAATCCATATTTTTGATGATTTTCATCATTTTTATAAACAAAAGAATATCCTACAACATTTTTAAGTTGTTCTAATGCTCCAGTAATTTTTTGAATTTCATTTTTATTTCTTTGATCACTTCTTTGGAAAAACCCTGCTTCACTAAATAATTCACCTGCGATACATAATCTTTTAATATTCTTATTAACACTTTGAATTGTTATAAAATCTTCATTACATAATGGTGTAATTGATATGATTTGATTGTTATTTTCTATTTCTTTAGAACTTTCAATAGTATCACCTAATCCAGTTTTATAGGGTTTTCTTTTTCGTTGATTAACTGTATCAGTTACAAATGTGATATATTCTAAACACTTTGATTTAACTTCTTTTCGTTTTTCTTCAGGTAAACTTTTATATGCAATTCCATGATATTCATGTGGTAATAATTTTAAATGTCCATCCCAAACATGTGAAATACAATTGTATTTTGTTTTTGCTGGTTCATTACATCCTGGAAATGTACATTTATATTCTTTATATCTAATTCTATGTCCCTCTCTTGACATCTTGTATCAATGTATTATGTTTTGGTTTTCTTCTTTTTTTCAGTTTCTATTCTTTAAAATAACTTTTTTCTTTATTAGATTTTTATTATTTCTTCTTTTTAATGTTTTTCTTCTGTCAAATAACTTTGTTGAAAGAATTAAAAACAGTAAGTTATTTTTGTTATCTATTTTATATATAGAAGAAAGTAGATTGTTAAAAAAAAGATATTTAAACACTGTCATTTTAATAATATGAAATTGTCTTATAACTACAGAAGATGGTGTTTAAAAATAATTCTTTTTCTTGAAAGAGGAATAACATTTAATATAAAAAAGTTTTTTACATTTCTCTTTTTTATTGAAACAGATATGTTTTTAAATAGAATTAATTAGTAAGAATATTTTTCATTAAAAATAACTCTCTAGTAAAAGATAAAAAATGAAAGAATATTTTATTCTACCATTTCAATAGATTTCATCATTGATAACATTGGTCCTTCAGGATTCACTCTTTTCAAATA